CAATTAATCCATTTAGTTAAACTAAATAGGAAAAAGTTTATTACTGTGTGTAAGCCCACTAGTATGCTCACTGTTTTTATTAATATAAACAAATAATATTAATATATATATATATATATATATATATATCTGTACATAGACCACAAAACCAAAATGGCTAATATTACTGTTAACAATGAAATGATGTGTGAACATAGGAAAGACAGTTATGATTAACAATTGTTATATATTTATGGTAAATGTTTAATAATATTTGTCTTACTTATGAACTGGTAATGAATTGTATGTGTTGAGCACTGACTTTTTATGTTGGTTTTGTGAAATAATTTGAAGAAATATGCCAAGGTTTAACTTTAAAATCTGTATCACACACACACACAAAGTGCTCAATAAAACTGGATAGCTAAATAATATTTAAAACTTTTTGATTTTCAAAAATTTGAAAGCTGTGTGTGTGTAAGTAAAATAGGTGTAAAATGCAAAACTGTTTTCCACACATAGGTACAAGTAAAAAGAGCTTCTGGACCACTTTCCCAGGAATTCTGTGATTGGCAAGTATAAATTCAGTCTGCAACCTTATACTGCAGGAGCATACAAACTGAAGGTAAAGGATAGTACTATGAGCTTCTTAACGAGATCTGTGGCACAAACCTGCTGAAGTTTTTTGTAATTATAAAGCAATAGGCTATTACAGTGTTTGACATTTCACCCTCTATTTATCATGCATATTTATTATATTTCAACAGAGTTAGACTCCTACAGAAACACAATGAGTGGACCATACAGGGTTATCCAACATAGAGATAAAAGCAAAATTCAAACCTTCCAAAACTACAGTTGAAAAAATAATAATGCAGACAGTAGTATGAAAAATGACATTTCTCCAAAATGTGCCCAACATTAAGTCTTAACATTGCATTTCAAAATGTAAATATGAATATTTAAACACACTGTTAACAACAGGTGCATTATGGACAAGTATATGTGCAGTTCCTTATTTTGTAATGCTTAGTCATAAAAACTTCAAATTTGGATGCTGTAAAATTTTAAAATTAGTTCCATATGCAATATTTTTTGGGGGCTAATAATTCAGTGATTATTGCATTACAGCTCACATATTGTACTATCATAAGATTAACTTTTTTTTATAATTTTATTTAGCATTTTGAGTTGATTGCAATCACTATCAATTTCATAATATTTGTAACTACTATTTTTCAAATCACATACTTTTTATTTCCTTAAACACAAAATTGCTTATAAGAATTTAAATGTATATTCCATGATATTTCTTCACATTTTCATTTCTTTGCTTTAATGTACTTCACTACGAAATATTTACTACCTGCTTTTGCTTTTACCGCCACTGTTATTTTAATTCTGTTGGATTCTCTAACCAAGAGTACAGAAAATATTTCTAAGCCAGAAATGTATTAACAAAGTCACAAACCATGAAAGAAAGAAAGAAGTTCAAAAGCAACGAAACACACTCACATTTACTCAAATATTTAGTTACTATTACTTCTACTTTCACTCAGAAACATGTCCAAATACATGTAATAACATGACATGGATAACCACATTCACTTAAATTGTTAAAACAACAGATACCCTTTTCATATGGTTCAAAAAAGGGGGATGGCACTGACTGTTAACATACAGCAACATAATACTTCACCGTGTTAAACTAGGATGTAAAAAATATGCTTATATAGGCTATTGTTGGTGCTACTTGTAAATGTAAGAGCAGACCAAGTATAAAGTTTTAAGATCACAGGGTGATAAAAAATGTGCACAGTATTTTTTTTTTAAATGTTAATACTGATGTGCTATTTATTTCACTTTTTTGAGTGATCAATACTGAAGCATTTGCTACAACTCAAATACTAAGGATTTCAAGAAATGTAGTCCTAATTAACATATAAAGTAATATATAGGGAAATGACAAATATACAACTTCAAGTATTTAACAGAAACCTAGAGAAATATAGAAGACCAAAGTATGTTATAAAAAATGTGAACAATAACAAGCAAACACTTTACCAAGTAAGGATGAGACAAATTCAAAACACATTGCATGAACTAGCTGGATATACATTCCACGCCTTGACCCAAGAAGTTAGAAACTAACACTTATGATTACCAGCACCGAATAGATGAGATACCATGAGAGAAAGCAATGACTGTTTATACTAGAAATCATCATTATAGGAAGCAACTTCGTAAAAAAATAATTAGCAGAACTTTGAAGAGTCAACAAGTGGAAGGGTATCTGTAAAAAAAAATGGAAGTTACACAGTTTGCCTCTGTATGTTCTGAGACAATAATCTTGGGTGTTTACACCAATGACAATGAATAAATGCAGAGAAATAGTTCCATACAAACCAATTAACAAGTGGTTATGGTTGTGGTTTGGTGGATGATTCCACTAGTGCCAATTAATCCTTTTGGTATGAGCACCTGCAATTTGCAGGGAGTCATAAGGAAATTTTCCTTGTGCAACAATACATACTGTAACTCTGAGATTTAACATATTCTCACAAAAAGATTTTGTTAAAAGATTATAAGTATCTTGTACACAAAGGATGACATTATTTTAATTAAGTCTTTCCCCTAAAAAAAAAATGTTATTTACCTGTTGTAGTTATTTAAAATAAAACTCTTCATCTAATAGTTCGAGTGCAAGGTGATTTTTATATTAAGTATAAAAATACTTTTCTTCATCTTATAGTTTTCATATTTCATTTGCATAACCTCTAGAACCTCCTAAATGAATATCAAATGTTTTTTTAAGGTAAATATTCATATTTTATTTTCTCTACCATATCACTAACTGTAGATATCACCATCAACATGGTGCAATAAACTGTTTAAAATTAAGAAATAGAAAAAATGTACATACCTTTTAATTTTCATAGAATATCTTGAAAGACCTTCTTATGGTTATATTTGTAATTTCAGATCTTTTCCTTTTCACATATAGTTTGGTTTGTTTTGAATTTCGCACAAAGCTACACGAGGGCTATCTGCACTAGCCATCCCTAATTTAACAGTGCAAGACTAGATGGAAAGTAGCTAGTCATCACAACCCACCGCCAACTCTTGGGCTACTCTTTTACCAATGAATAGTGCACATATAGTTAATTTTTAGTGTTTTATTTTCCTTTCTTGTCCATCACTTTTTATCACTCATCTCTGCACAAGTTAACAGTGCCCTAGGGACTGAATTTACAGTATTTTCAGCAGTTATGCACAAACCTTCAGCAAAATTATCTTCCCTTTGTGCAAGATCTTAAGCCTTGAGAACTAACGCAAAGTATGATGTATATTTAAAATTTTTTTAAACCTTTCAATTATGCATTTGACAAAATTTATTACTTGTTGCTACTACTTTGAAACTTACATGTCCATACAGCAAGTAAATGTACTTAATTGTCTAGACATGCATCTACAGGTCTGGCATTATCTGAGTCAAGATAGAGTGCAAAAGTTGAGATTTTTCACAGCTAGTGGATCATGTGACAACACAGAACTGAAGCTTGATAGTAATGTTGTTTAATTAAATTTTGAATGTAACTCAGTGACTTGTGCAGAAAAGTGTTTAAAAGGGTTCCTGTTGTAAAAAGGTTAAGTTGAAAGAAGTACTTGTAAAAGTAAATCCACTGGACTTATTGAGAAATCGTTTAACCCTAC